GCATTTAGCCAGCCATTTGTTTTCCATTTCTTTATGTGCTCAGTCATGCAGCTGATGAGGTATTTGGAATCGGTGATTATTCGTATTCTCGAAATGTGATGGCGAATGCATATTTGGCATGCTTCGATGGCGGCCGCTGTTTCGGCGGTGATGTTGGTGGCCCGTGTACCTTGAAGTTTGTGGGTCTTGAGGGGGTGGTTGTCCGTGAACCACACTCCGATTCCTGCTTTGGCACCGTTAAAGGAGCAGGAGCCATCGATGTAAACTAGTGTGCGTCCTGATCCGTCTGTACTCATGTCCCTGGAATGGTTTCATTTTCAATCGTATACACTCAGGTACGGGTAAGGATATTTTGTTTGTAATTGAACGGGCCATCGCTTCCCGAGGTCAAATTTCCAAAATTTCAATTAGGGTGGCCTGTGCCGTGAAGGGTGGATCACTAAATTTTTTTTTATCATTTTTTTTTTTATTGACTCATTCTGCGCAGGGTTTCAGTTTGTTTGGGTGTTTCATGAAGTGGTGTCCGTCTTCGCTTTCTAAGTATACGTTTCCTTTTTCGGTTATGTCGACAATCTCGTAGGGTCCGGTGTAGGCCTGATCCAATTTTCCGATCTTGGGCTCCTTCTCGACGTAGACGAATTGCCCTATTTTAAGGTCTATTGGTCTAGCGTTTCGGTCGTAAAGATCCTTGGAGTGTAGTTTGGCTTTTTCTAGGTGGTCGAAGGCGAGTTGGTGAATTTTCTGCAGTTTGTTAATTAGGTTCACCATGTAATCGTTGTAGGTATGTATTGGCTCATCTTCGTCGGTAAGGTTGGAGGGGAGAACTGCCCTTTTTCCATACAGGACTTCAAATGGTGTGAAATTTGTTGAGCTATGCACAGTAGTATTGTACGATAGCATGGCGAAGGGGAGTAGCTCATCCCAGTCGGTGAATTCGTCGGTATAGGTCTTCAGATATTCGGCTAGTACGTGATGACTTCTCTCAAGGGCTCCATTGGACTGAGGTCTATATCCAGATGTCGTTATATGGTGGAATCTCAGGACCTTTCCCAGTTGATTGAACAATTTGCTGAGGAAGCTGGTCCCTTTATCTGAGAGGATTATCTTGGGGCATCCGTACAGGGCTACATACTTGGTTGCTAGTGCATGAGCGATAGTGTGAGTCTTGATATCCTTAAGGGGTACAGCGGTGCAGTGCTTGGAGAAGTTATCTTGTATCGTCAAGATCTGGCANACCATGACATAGAGTTACAGTAGCTGGATGGAATTAAAATTCTTTCTCCAGGAAGTATCGTATTCTGATATTGTCGTCTATTTCGTCGCCCTGAGATGCCATTTTTATTTCAGTAATTTTGTATTTTTCCATGGCGGTTTTGAGATTTTTCAGGCAGAGTTTTAGTATCCGGTTGTTGACTTTTTCGAAGTGCCATTGCTTCGCAATGAGGGTAAATGTTCGGAATTTTCCGCACTTCGTGACGATGACTTGACCTAGTCTTGGATTGAGCTTACGTATTTCCTCCAGGTCTATCAGATTAAGGTCTCTTAAAAGCTTGGTGTTTTGCTTTTTGATCTCTCCATCTGCTGCGAAGAAATGAGCAATTTTTCCCCCGGTAAATGTTAGTCCATCTCGAGTTTCTTTGATGTTGCTCGCAGGCTGATAGTCACTTTGTGGTATTGTGATCTTGTTGTCCATAGGTTCCTCATTTGATTTGTTCTGAAATATTTCTCCTTGGGTCTGTGTGAAACCGTGCTCTTCGCTCGTGGGAAGGTCAGGCGGAAGGAATTTGGGGTATGGATTCAAACACACCCCCGATGACTGCGATGATGACGGTTGTATAGTTTCGTTTGCTTGAGGGCTTTCCGCTTCTTGGGAGTGCGTTGTTTGATGGATTTCTTCGGTGCGTGGGAACAGTTCTCTTGGGGTTAGGTCTATTGAAGAGTTTTTCTTTTCCGGAGAAGATCCGGCCATAGGTGACTGTATAGCCCTTGGTGTTGGCAGTAAGGATTCTCGTGTGACCTTTGGCTGCGATATCACAGAATGTCTGGATTGGGGTATTTCTTCCTTCTCCGTTTTTTCGGGATTTTGGTCGGTGGAATTCGTCAATTCCGAGATTTCGTCAGTTGAGTTGATCAGGGGTTTGGACTGGTTTTGCAACTCAGCCATCTTCTTCTCAAATTCTTGACAGGATTCATTCAATTTCTCTTTGAATTCTGGACCCAGACTGGTTCTTCTCATTTTCTAGAGTGGTAACAGCTGATCTAGCAGTGGCTCTAGGGGTTCCTGGAATATTTCCTTGTCTCTTTCCGAGATTTTCTCCATATACTCGTAGAATTTTTCCAGGTTTCGTTCCATTCGTTCCATGTTCAATGGTGGACATGGTGTAGGATTTGGTTCTTCATCCTTTTCCTCTATTCGAGTTTCCGCTTCAATGATAGAAGGCGTTTCCTCGTCGGTGGAGTTTTGATCTGTGATGAATGTGTCATCCTCCAATTTTTCGTCCGTTGGGATTCCTTCAAGGGAAATTTCTAGTTGATCTTCTTTTCCTTGGTCTTCCATTTCGACAGGTACTATCGATGGTTCATCCTG